CTTCATGCTGGCTGACAAATTATAGCAGCCCTTTCAAACCTCCCCCGGGGCCTATTCCTTACAAATGCACTGGCAAACATCTAACTGAAAATACAAACAAAAAATACTCTAACATTTCCTCGCAATAGAAGACACTTAAATTGGACAAGCAATGTAGAAAGCTTGGCCTTACTTGCGCAGCACAAAACCCGGCTTTATTTGGAGTTCTGTAGGTGACATAGTTCAATGTTCACTTTACTGCAATTAACACAACTGTTCTCGCTGTATAAACCATGTTTCTTAGAGCCTTGGAACTGAACTATGTAAACTGAGATGGTTTTGAGAAAGAATAAGTGACTTGAACAGTCTAGAACATTTATAAATACATCATTATGATCTCTGGGTTTATTGATGGAGGATCAATTTCACTGCCATTTAAAATTTACAATTTCTTAAATTACTGGCATTTCAAGAATTGCTTTCCTCTAACATTTTAAGCAATTTTGATCTTTCAGGGGTAGGGGATATAGCAATATACCTAATATTTTGGTCTGAAACATGTTTTTGGTCCAAAACTTTCTGGGTTTTTTTCTCTCCAAAGTGTATTTCCTAAGACAGGCAGGGAATCCTGCAGTGGAGATGCAGCCTTGAACTGTCTGATACACCGATCACCAGGACTGGCAACAAGTGTTACAAATGAAGACACTGTATTTGCAGTTTCAGAAGCCTGGTATTCACAGCAAGAGTAAAGAAGGGTTCCTTAGATTATGTGAAAAAAATGTTGGAAGCTTCAGAATAATTTGAATAGCATAATAAGCAAGAAATGTTCATCCTATGCACAGAAAAAGGCAGAGGCCAGCTGGTAAATTGGTATTCAATTGTGTCACTAGGGACAGTTTCAACTTGTATGAAGAGCCGCACAAAATTCAGCCTGTAAAATATGCCTAATTCTAACACAACCTAAGTTTCAGGTAAACACATTTGTAATCTCAGCTATGTCCATTTAATACTGTTGCCATACATATTTCCTGAGCTTTTAAAGAATGAACTGCTCTGTCACAATGTTTTCTCCTCACCACAGTCTTACTCTTCTCATCTCACCAAACACCCTCTAGCACTTCAGGTCAATGCTGCCAGGTCCACATTCCAGTCCCTCTTTGCAAAAAATCCCAAGCCAAGTTTAGCCCTCCTGCCCTTCTCTCTGAATGCCCTTTTCCCAGCCACTCATCATCTCTCCCAAAATGCTGATTGTGCTTCTCAGAATCCTCTAACCTACCCTTCAGGAAGTTCCTGTTCTCACCTTACCAGTTATCTCTATCAGCCTGATTTCCTTCACTTTATCTGCTCTTCCCAAACTACAGGTCACAGGTTTTGCCTACTAGATCTACCAGCTTTGCTCTTCCCTCTTCTCCTACAGCCTCACTTTCCATATCAATCCACCAGTTTCCAGACAACCAATGACGTTTTGTTTTGCCATTCCTAAACTTCCTTCCCTTATCTGCTTCTCCTGAAGCCTCCTGATTCCCATTTCAATATGCCAGTTCTCAGTCTGGCATATGACCCAAATTTCCTGGTCCAAATATATTTGCATTACAAAAACTACCCAGTATCTTAAGAATCTAGGTCTTCTTTTCTGCAGTTGAACCTGCTTGTGTTTCACATGACTGTCTATGGTGTACCCAAGTCCTGTCAGAGTATTCATCAGCTTTCTCTGCTCACAGTTTCCCTTGTCCCCCACAGAGGAGGCAGGAGCATTCCAAGGCAATGGTTTCTCTGGCCATCACCAGAAACGTGCAGAAAAATAATTTTGCCTTGTCTCTTCCCTGAAAACAATTAGATTACATTTTTAAAAATCAAAGAAAGATTACCTTGAGGCAGACAGCTATTGAAATGAGATCAGACCCAAATACTGAAAGTCACAGGCATTCAACAATAATTGATGCTCTTCCCAGAGCTCTTAATCCAGCAGCTGGTACATGTCTCCATTGAACTCACAGAATGAAATATCTATCTTCATTTTGTGTGCATATATATGTTCCAACCTATGTATGTATTGACCCTTTTCCTTTTGAAGATAAGGTTAAAAGGAAAGCTTTCAGTCCTTTTAAGAGCATCTGACTATATTTTTTTCCTACATTTTTGGAAAATACATAATTTTCAGACTAGTTTCTTAAAACCAGCATTAGGGCCTTCTAAAATCTCAGATGCAAACCAGTGAACACCCATTCCTGCAGCTCAGGCCCAGACTGCTCTACACAGCAGAGCAGTTGTTAATACTTATTTGCGCAATCTATGAAAAAATATGGGTATTCCACAGAGAAAGAGATGGAGAAAACATTATTCTGCTCTTTTTGAAGAGCTCATTATTACTGCATCCAAATTCTCAAGCTCACATTGCCACCCTTCAACACTACAAAGCCAAATGTTTTATATTTAGCATTTTATCTTTGGCCAGACAGACTTCGTATGTGACTCAAAAGGACATCTCAGAAATCCTCACATCTGGGGCATTTTTAAAGGCCAGAAAGCAACTAATCCGGGGGGAGGAGAAACTAATTTTTATATGATGTATTTAAAATAATTAATCGTATTTTATTAATTAAGGAAACAATGTACTGCCATACAAGGAAGACTGATGGTGGTTTATGTGCTGGATTCCTTTGGGTGGTATTCACAAATAAATCACTTGCTTATAGGGACTCTGAATGTAGGCTGGTTTACACAGTAAGAGTGATTCATGAAAACAAAAAGAGTGAGGTAGGACTTTCTGTGTCTACCTATAGCAGCTGGGAAGTCTGGATCCAGGTAGTGAGATTCATTCACTGCCTCAGAAACCAGCACAGACATGGCATTGTCATTAAACACAAAATTATTTAAGTGAAAGCTGTAAGTTTTTGTAAGATCATTATTATGACAGAGAAGCTAGCATCATATAGCATGTTTTAAACTACTGTCTGAAGGGAGCAGAAGGCCCAATATGCAGACTGGACCCATTTCTTGGTGAAGTCTGGTGCAGCTCTGGGACCACAGTCAAAGATGTAAAGGGAAAATTTCCTATCCCAGAATGGCACTCAGCTTTTATGGATTTTTCAGGTAGGTAGAGAAGAAGTGGCAGCAAGAAATCCAAGGGCAATTAAGAAGAGACTTCAGGGCCTTGGGATGACTCTTTAAGGGATCAGGAGCACAAATGATCTTCTCCTCTATCCTAATTCAAGGGAATGATGAGGAAAGAAAGGAAGATTCCTTTCAGATCAGTACCTGACTCCGAGCCTGGTGCCACCAGCAGAATTTTGAGGTTTTTTGATCATGTTTACAGTTCACATGATACCAGTCCTGCTGACAACAAATGGGGGAGGTGCCTGTCTCAAAAGGGGAAAAGGACCTTTGGGCAGGTCTTAGCAGGGCTTATTGAGAGAGCTTTAAATTAGGTTTGAAGGGGAAAAGGCATAAAACTAGGCTTGCTACAGGTAAGCCTGGAGGCAACAGGCCAATATCTGAGGGACGTTGTGCTAGTGAGGTCCTTCAGTCTGCTGTAGGGGATGGAGATCCACACAGCAGCAAAGACACAAGGGTTATTGATGTGTTAGAAACCATGGAAGTGCTAAATTAACAGTTGAACTCAATAATCTTACAGATCTTTTCCAACCTAAATAATTCCATGCCTTTATAATCCTAAATGTGTATGTTTTGTATGTTATGTGTACAAAAAAAATATAATTTGTATATTATTCTGTATATTATGTTTCCTATGCTGGATTGCCATAAATAAACACTTTTCTAATACTTTCCATATATTCATTGGTCCTATTTTCCTCAAGGTTGCTTCTAAGAACAAAATCATGAACACCATAAAGTTGGTAGAAGTTTTTTCTACTCATCAGGAAGCCTAAGGAGGTCAAGGTTTCAGCACAGTTGTTTGTGCATGTAACTGTCTACTACTTTGACCTGGGTGAAATTTCCTTCCGTTCTACACTAGCCTGCTCCTTACTTACCAGAACACAGTTGCTGATATTGACATATGAAAACTCAGACTTATTTTACTAACTCTAATTAATTACTTGCTTCAGAATCAATTTGATAGCCATATTAATAATATATAGTAACAAATCTTCTATTCCCAATCCACAACAGCAGAAGACCACTCAGGAGGAGTAGTAACAGTTCACTACCATAAGACTTGTAACTCAAAAAAAGGTTAAAACTAATGTACTTTAGACCAACAACATACACGAAAGTAAGCAAACTAATAATATTCATTTGATTGAGTTTAAACCGATTGTCCCCAATACTTTCATATTTAAATCATAGATTACCTTTGTATAGGTTGGGATTCATTTCAATCAATCTTAGCTTTTCTTTCTGACAATGGAGTAACTCCAGCATTAATCCTAAAAAGTACTAAGCCGAAAAGCACCATAGTACCAGAAGAAAAAGAAACCTCCATTGGTATAAACCACATCAGTCATTTCAAATTTGTTTCAAAACTTGAATGGCTTAACTTTATACACACAGGTCTTATTGCAGATCAGATACTCTTCAACCTGCAGCAGCCAGCATGAAACTGGCATAAGGTCTGTGTCATGTGCTCTAGTTAATTCAATAAAAATGCGGTCATGGGCCCACACTTGATCCAGATCAAATATGCACTCATTGTGATCCAGGAGCACACAAATCTGGTATTAATGGACATGAAACCATGGCCTTATATGACAGACCAGCTCTAGCTACTTTGCAGATTTCATTGACAGGTTTTTCAATAGACATGCTTTTTCCTCTAAAATATCCTAATGCTTCTAGTAGCTGTGATGTTCTTTTCCGTGTAAATCATTGACTTTAGATCTCAGCAAATGAAACATAAAATCAGAAAAAAGCCCAACTCCCATCACAACAAAATTTCAGTCACCTGTGAAGGGCTGTAGATAAGTGGTGGCAATCAATTTAAATAGGTAAAATAAGTATACAATGTAATGAAATCTAAATCACATCTAGATATTGAAAAAATCAAAAATTAGAAATCTTACCTTTTTCACTAACACTTTCACTTTCAATCTCTACATCATCACAACTTGTATATTCTGGAGTGGATGCCAATTCTTCTTCTGAGCTACTTAATGAAACCTGGCGCATTTTACCTCCCTTTTTCGTTTTATGGGGCTTTGGTGGGGGAGGTCTGATAGATTCAGACTGGTCTGAGCTAAGTGAATCATTCCGTAACATGGTCTCCATTTTTTCACGTTTTGTTTTCCGTACAGCAGAATTGGGATCCAAATGGTGCTGTTTCCTTAATGAATCAGAGCGCCTCATGTCTGGTCTTTCCAGAGGAATTGGACTCCTCCTAGGTGTAGGAGGGCTATGATTTGTGGTCCTCTGACGATTGGGACTTGGCCCCTGAGCCTCTCGAGTTCTTTCCATAGAGTATGAACGTTGATTTTCCATGGCAGCCCTGCGCTCAGACACCGATCTTTGCCTTGATGGCCGTTCCATCCTGAGCATAGACATCCGAGAATCTTCCAACTCTGTATTTGCCAATGAGACATCACTATGCCTCCGTTCATGACGTGCTCGGGACACTTCAGCATGGATACGCATTTGTTCCTCATATGGTTGTGGCTTGACTGGGTAACGAGCCAAATTAGGGTCACTTCGGTATCGTGCCTGGTATTCCTCTTCTCTCCGCTGCCTTTCATATTCTTCCCTGTTTTGTGCATCTTCTTCTTCTACCGGATACTCCTTGGAACGCCTGCGGCTCCTTCGGTTGGAATCCCTATAATCACCCAGTTCAGGTTCTTCATATAACTGAGGCCCACGCTGTGACCGTCTATCTGAATAATCTGATGGTGACCTGGGCATCGCACTGTCTGATGTAGCATACTGTGAATATTCGTCTCGCTCGTCCCTTTGCTCGTATCTTCTGTTCTGTTCTCTTGATATTGATGGGCTTCTTTTCCTAAATAATCATGACAAGAAAGCAGAAAGAGAATTCTGTCAATATTTTATGCAGCACAAATATACAGTTAATGCTAATTAAATGATAGAATGATTTCATTGCATTTCTTTGTGCTCTCACGCTTTCTGTACTAAATTAAAGAAAGCATGTCATGCTACAAATCTGCTTCTGGGTGCACAGCTTAAATAAAAAACAGCTTTGAAGGAAAAATGCTAATACAACATTATAAAATATAGAATACAAATACTTATGTTACTTTGTAGTCATAACAGCTTTACAAGTACCAACATTTTATTAATCCTTTGTAATCATTTTACAGTGATATAACTCGACCATATCCTTCTATTTCATAGGGCTTTATAATCACCATAGAAATTAAGGCTAGAAGGGTCATTCAGTTAGTTTGCTCTTTTAGCAGCCATTATTGAAACCACCACACATTTCCATTCCCACAAAACTATAATGTGTGCCAAGGGCAGAAAACAAAGATCCAATGGTCACACATGTCTAAATCAGATGAACTCAGAAGTCCTGAACTCAGAAAACAAAACATTTTTTTGTGCTGTATAGAAAAGAAAGCACTTCAAAGTGCTTTCTGAGTTGACAAAAGAATCCGTCCCATCTCTACAGGGATGGTAACAGTATTAGTCCAAAGATTTGACCAAGACACATCAAAATACTAGAATGGAGTTCCTTTGTCATAGGCACCAGCTGGCCACAGACAACACCTGAGGCTTCTGAGGAGGTGGAAAAAGAATTATCAAGATATTATTTCCTGACACTGATAAATGATAGATTGAAGCACTTGATTCTTTTGTATGTATTATTTTAGTAAAGGAATACTATTTTAGTTTCTGGAAAATGTCACGAATGTTATATGTTCTGGTTTTTTGATACAACATTGTTTGCCATGTGATTAGAAAGAATCACATAAGGAGTAGTTCTTCACAGGGAAAAAACAATCCTTACAGGGTAATGAGCATTTAAAATGGTACTTCCAGACATGTTGTGATTCATGCTTGGCTTTTCACCCTTGATGGGTGTGAAGAAGTTACCTGCAGGAAACTGAAGCAAAGATCTCAGATGTGGATAAAAGACACTGAGAGGTGGGACTTCTCTGTGATAATACAGATAACTCAAGCTTTAAGTAATGAAAATACATATATGAAGCAATTTTTTTATTTTCAGTCCTTTCTTCCTATATTTAGTTCTGGTTTTATAATTAAGATCTCATTTAAAATGTTTTCTACCCTCACAAAATGGCCAGTGATCCTGATAGACAGTCTTGCAGGCAGCAACCAGGAGATCCTGCCTAGTGTTTAGAAGGATGGGAAAAAAGTGAGCAAATACAGAGTCTTCTTGTTGCCACAATGGTCCTAGAAGAAAAAAGGAAACCCTTCAATTTAGTGAAGGGGAGAAAGAGAAACAGCTTCTCCCTTAGTGTCCAAGAAAGTATAAAGGGCTCTGTGTTTAGCTGATAGGAGAAAAATGTTCACAGCCAGAAAGGAAATGCAGTCTTTTCTCAGTAAGGGAAAACCCAACTGTCTGAGCAGAGTGTGCGTGGCGGTGGTGATTGGCAAACTGGCATTCTGCACTGTCTTAGGTACCACAGAGAATCATTAAACTGTGCTTGAAAGATTGGACCCAGTTTTGCCTTGTAAATATTAAAGTAATTTAGCTTTACAATGGTATCTACAATTAGAAAACCGACTCAATCTTGCAAAAATGAAACTCTTCCTGCAAAGTATGATAAGTAGCATAAGCATCTTGCAGATGCCTATTTGCATATATGGTGAAGCTAAGATGTCCTATCTGTCTTATTACAGCGTCATGTTAGTACCAGCACATATCCTAACCTCTGTAAGTTTAACAAAGTCTCTACAGATTCTGCTACTGGAGACTCACATTGAATCGCTCTAATGTGACACGAACAGAGTTTCATAAGTCTGAAACCATAATGGCCAACGGGAATGGACAATTAGGACAACAGAACTACCAGAATGCAGACAGTTTGCAAAGACATTGGAGTTTTCATTAAGACAACAGAGATTAGGTTCAGAAATGCTCTAAGGAAGATAAATATTTTTCACTTAAATACTTCAGTTGATGAAAAATATGACACATGCCAAAATAAATTGTTCCAATAATAAATTATCTAATCCCTGATAATTTCTGCCATGCCTATAATAAAAATTTGCATAACTTCCCCTCCCCAGTTGTGTACCCCATATAGGCAAAATCTTTTTATCTCTAGTTAAGCCCAGTTGAAATAAATGTCACTCAGCAGATACAGCATTCATTCATGTGGATCTCATTGAAAGATTGAGACCAATACACATGCACATGAAATGTTCACATACTATGCAGTTAACACACCACATATACTCAGTCTATATTACCTATAGATCAAGTTGCATCCACAACCACAGGTTTTTGCATAGATTTAATCCTCCAAATCATTAAAACACTCTAATAAGTATTGTTTATAATATCAACTCCACGATGTACTGTGTAACACACAAAACTGTACAGAATCTAGTTTGACAAATCTCACATGTGCCTTGGAGTAGTCTGAGCGTACACATGCTTCAGTATTAAATATCTACATATTTGTGTTGACAGTAATAAAAACAATAGGATATTTGTTTTAGCTACAAATAGATTATAAAAATACACACACACTCCCCACGTACATTTGTATATATATATATGACTACATGTCACAGTGTCCTCATATTAATGCATAGAAAAATAGAGAAATCACTTCTGGAAACATTACTGCTATAATTTCATGGAGGGAAGGCTGAGAGGATTAAAGAGATAGATTTCTTTATGAGTAAAAACAGTACTGCTGAGGAAAATGTATTTTTATCAGGAAAACACATCATCTGATGAACTGGCACGGGATTTACAAAAAATCCACCTTTTTTTCTAGTATGAACTAGGTTAATGACAGTAGGATGTGCCAATTTAGCATTATATTTTTACACCACTCACACAAACATTTTCCAATCTTGTGTGCTACATTTACCACAAACAGTCATTTTCCATCCTCCATTTTATTGCTAAGACATGAATTTAGGAACACCATCCATGGCTAACAGTAATGCAAAGAGCATCTGGATCCTCAGTCTATTCCAACCTTTCATAAAGGGAAAAGCTTTGTACAGGTGCCCTGCATGTGGCAACTGCTAGGCCACATGCAAGAAAAAGGACCTACCTGAAAATGGAGTGCTTTTCTTCAGACAAAGCAGCCTGATAGATAAAACCAACTAATTTAATTCCTGGCCTATGCTGACTGGCGCTATCAAACTCCCTTTCTAATTAATTTCATTCCTGTTGAAGCATCCAACTTGACTACTGGGATCAAATGCCAGAAGTTAATCCTATCCATCAGAAATATATTAACTGTATCTGTACACCTGATCAGCCAGAAACCTTGCTGTCAGGAGAGGGCTCATCCTGTCCTGCAGTTACCACACCACTTAGTGTTCAAGCCTGTCATTCTCTTTACTGGTCATCATAGCACAATTAGCTCCCCTTTAATATTCAACAATTTTTAAATTTTAACAATACCTGCCATAAATATAGTTGTACAATGTATGTTATATATTTTAAACCAGAGTTATGACATCATGGTAGGAGGAACAGTACTTTTGAAAACTTATGGCCAGTCACTACTATTAAAAATCTGCTGTTATTTTTAGATCACTAGCTAATTCTCACTCACCTTCATGAGCCTCTGTCTAATCCATTTCTCACCATTAACTACCTAAAGATACCTTAATAAAAGCCTTTCATCATGTACCTCCAGCTGAATACCCCATGGAAAATGACTACTCCTGCCTTTCCAGGACTTTCCTGGAACTTTAAAAGTTAAGAGAACTTTAAGGGTGTGATACACACCCTCCAGCTGCCAGCTCAACTAAGCACTATACATCTCCTGTCAGAAGGATTACCACCCTTCCTGAAAAGGTTACCACACCACTGAAAAATCCTCCAGGCCATTGTGATTACTGCTTGTTTGAAACAACCATAAAATAAAACCTCTGTTATGGTTAAAAAACTCTAGAACCTGCATAAATCTCTTTGTCAGGCACAGTTTATAAATACTATTTTTTCAGATGTAGAATCTGAAACTTAATTTTTCCTAATTATTACTGTATATTTATTTTTACTGTAATTTATCAATACATGACATTTGGTCTTTTAACAAACAACCCATAAGCTTACACCGATGGAAATCTTATTTACAGTGCACTACAGACATCACTAATATTATGAAAAAGCAAATAGCTTGACTGTAACCTGACCTCCTGCTCATAAAGTTAAATTATTCAACTCCCCCACACTACAATAGAATTAAGTGCTTAAAATATGACATAGAGGAATATAAGACAGTTATTAGGCTTTGATGGCTGCGATTTCCATAATGGAACTAAATAGCTTGAAAGCCTTTCAAGTTCATTTGTATTATTCCTTAAAGAGAAAACTCTCTTCTGCTTTGATTTAGATTTTTGAAAAATTAACCCAAGTGTACTGTAGAAATGGAAATTTTAAAAATTTGGTTTCTATCACATTTCAGATGTCACAGATATTAAAAAATATTGTAGTATGGAAAGTATCTATATCACTGTCAAAACTAGATCTCAGGCCTTCCTGCTACTAACCTATTCTCAGACTACTAGAAGACACATTTGAACTGGAGAAAACTTTCAGAAAAATATCATTCTAAAGATACGTTTAAACATATGGGTAACTGAATTAATCTGTGTTTAACTTGAAAATTTCTATAAATTAGAAGCTTTGAGTCAATTAAAAAATAGTAGGGACTCAGTGGGCCTGAGCCACCATCTACTACTTGAAAAATGAATATTGGTCATCTACTTGTAAGACCTAATCATAATTTACTAGACAATACTTTGATATTTTGTTTTCTGTTTCCTATAAATTAGCAAGAAATAAAATTGACTGAAAAATTAAAACTGACAACCTTTCTC